ACGGTTACTGGTCCCCCTTTCCCCATTCCTTTTCTCTTCTTTCTTTTCTAAGGAATATAGTGAAGTAATCTTGCCAAAGCAAAACAATATCCAGCAGAACCATTTTGGGTGAAAAGAGTTTCTGGCTAACCCCTTCCTACCATCCCCAGCAAAAAAAGAACAAAACCAAACAGACAAATTTCTGCATATCTACAATATTTTTAGAGATTTTTTGAACCTTGTAACAATTAAGGAAGTCACAAAACAAACTTCAAAATATTAATTTTAAGGAATCTACAACTTCTGCATTTAAATCTGTAAGTTGTAATGTCACTCAACTTCAAATACAAGGACATTTTTGTACATTTCTTCTAGATGGTAGCTATAAAACTGGGGCTCTCCCAAATTTATTTAGGCAGGGGATATAAAAAATGTCTTGATAATTTGCATTTCTCATCTGGTTGCCAGGCATATGAGTGTCCACTACATTACTCTTTGGGGCTTTTAGTAGTAGGTGAAAGAAAAAAAAATACACCAATATTTGGTTGTTGTTCTTAAGATCTGCACCTCTTATTCCAAACGCAAACTGTGAGTTCCAAATGCAGAGGCACAACACACTTGGTGGCCAAGAGCGGAGTCCCCAGGCGTCCCCAGCAGAGGACCAAAGAGACAGGGCACCACAGACTTACGGTCAAAATGGCCCGTTTAATGCAGAGTTGTTAGCATATTTATAGAACATTGAAAGGAGCTCATGATAAAGCCTGAAACACTTAAGGTTAATATCCAAACACAAATCATTATCTATTCCTTATAACTGGAGCGATAGCACAGCGGTAGGGCGTTTGCCTTGCATGCAGCGAACATGGCCAACCTGAGTTCGATTCCTCCGCCCCTCTCGGAGAGCCCGGCAAACTACCGAGAGTATCTCGCCCGCACGGCAGAGCCTGGCAAGCTCTCCATGACGTATCCAATATGCCAGACACAGTAACAACAAAGTCTCCAATGGAGACGTTACTGGGCCCGCTCGAGCAAATCGATGATCAACGGGAGGGCCTTTATAACTGATTCAAATTCTTCCCCGAATCAATTCTTTAAAGTTCAATGTTTTCAGTCTCATCCAACTCGAGACACTATTTGTACTACCCATCTGGGGGCCCCTTACTCCAAGCAGAGTAACTAAGAGGCAGTAAAATGTGAAGGGTCGATGGATCTGCCAAAGGGCAACATGACCTGGGAGCTGAGACTCAAGGCAGCTATGCAATGGGGCTTCAGATCCAGTGTTGATTCTCATTATCAACATGAATAGTAATTTACCTCCACAGTAGTTCATCTGAGATATCTATATTTACCACTTATAAGTCCAACAGCTGTAGTCACTGGTTGGAAGGCACAGTCTCTGTGGAGACATCAATATGCAAAGAAGGGCAAGACCTAAAATCCTTTTGTTAACTCTCCACCCAGCTGTTAAGTGCATTTGTGAAATTAGAGTTGACCTACAAGATCACCATAATGCTTTAAAATGTAGTGTTTGAAAAAATCAATATGGTTAGGGAAGTGTACTAATTAGACAGCATCCGAGCAATTACAAAGTCAGTATTATGTCAAGATACATTTTTATTACCCTGAGTCTAGCAATGTCTAAGACAGAGTCCTCGCAACTTCCTATTAAATATGTCCTTTCCAAATTACTAGCTAAAATCAATCGATCTCTTCTTGAATTCCTCAGTAAAAGACATGAATAAAAAAGGTAGGAGGGGTAAACACAGAACGAGGACATATTAGTAGAATCTCTATTTCAAATAAACACACTGATTCTAGAACAGTAGAAAAACCTTCCGAAAGGAGTGAGACAGCTCCTCCAGGGAGCTAATAGAAGTAAAGCAGGTGAAGGGGAATGAACATTAACACCACATACCCTGAGTTCATCGTCACGTTATCTGGCACAGCCAAAGACATCTCAGCGATAACTACAGTAAATGGACACTGGGCACTGGCAGTGTTTTTTTACTATTAAACAGAAACTTATCCCCCACAGGAGCTGATGACCCAACTCTAACGTGTTCACAGGGAAAAGAGGGCCAGTCAGACTAATAGCACCTAATGTGCTAGGATGTGTGAGGCTGTAAGGAGTTTTATTCTATTACTGTTTGTTTTGGGACCCAGGAATGTGTCAGGAATCCAGCCCGAAGTCGGCTATATCTGGCAATGCTCAGGGCTGACTCCTGGTTCTGCATTCAGGGATCACTCCTGGCGGTGGTCAGAGGACCGTATGGGATGCCAGGGATCAAACCTGGGTCAGCTGCATGCAAGGCAAATGTCTTACTTGCTGTACTATCACTCTGGCCCCTCTATTATAAATAATATAATAATAAATATATTGTTAATATATCAATGTTATTTTAACAATTATTATATATATATTTTTGGTTTGGCGACCAAACCTGGCAGTGTTTAGAGGCCCCCTGAGCTCTGTCTCTTTAACATTTCCTATAAATATACTAATTCTAGGATACATGAATTCTATAATTCTTAGTGGCCAGTAACAACAGACCCTGAGAATTTGCCTATAGAACTGAGTCTGCTAAGGAGGGGACAAGGACAAGCAGGGATGTAAAATCAGTGGCAGGGTTGGGGGCCGCTGACACTCTGGTGGGGGGGACGATATAGTCCTGAAACACTAATGCTGTTGTCTGTCATGGTGTCTAAATAAAACACCAAATTCTACAACAAACATAAGAGAAAATTATTTTTGTAGACCTTCATACTAGTTTGGCAAGCTACTGAGAGTATTTCGCCCACAGGGCAAAGCCTGGCAAGCTACCCATGACGTATTCGATATGCCAAACACAGTAACAACCAAGTCTCACAATCGAGACGTTACTGGGCCCACTCGAGCAAATCGATGAACAATGGGAGGACAGTGACAGTGACTTCATACTGGTAAGAAAAGGGGGTTTATACAGCTATTCTTGCAGTTAAACGCCAAAATTTATCAATTCATTTATTTGGAGGGTGTGGTACCACACTCAACTAGGTTTCAAATTTATTCCTGGCTCGGTGCTCAGGGATCACTCTTGGAAGGATTCGCGGGGACTCTTCCAAGAGGTGCCAGGGATCCAGCCTGGGATGGCCTCACATAAGGCAAGTGCCTTTCCTGCTGTACTATTGCTCTAGCCCCTCCATTAATTTTTTAAAAGTTAACTTAATGTATCATCTACGCATTATTTTTAAAGGACTTGTCATAAATTCAAAACCTAATGATACGGTGAATTGGTTTGACAAGAAGTAAAAGGCAAAATGAAAAATCAACAAAATGAACAATCCTGGGGGCGGGGGAGAAAGATCACAATCTTACTCAACGGCAGATTTCCAGTCAAACTTTAATTTAATTATGTTAGAAGGTACTGTCAATCACTATGCTTGTTTTGGGGGTGGGGGTATGAGATGGGGGCAGTTTGCAGCAAAGATGAAGTAGAATACACAACCCAAGATTTGTAATATTTTTACGTTAGTCGTGTTTCTTTGAATTTCTCCCAACAGTCATCTGAATATCTCCTCTGAATACTCCAGGCTGGGCCTGCTCTCTCTTGCTAGGGCTGGAGCCCTTCTCACATTCTCTTTCTTTGCTTTATGTGGCACCACACAGCCCCAGTCCCTCTGCTTAGCCCCTAACTTCCCTTATCTATCAAGGCCTGGTGACACTTCCAGATTCTGGTCTTCTTCCTCCCACTGTCACTTCCCCAGATCAGACCACAGTATCACTCACAGAATAATTTCTTTGGAAATGTGGTCAAATGTGAAAGCTTTCTGGCTATTTATTTTTTGTTGGGGGCGGGGGGGTTGCAGGGATTAAACCTAGGCCTCACATATGCAAGGCCCATAAAAGTATATCCCTGGCCCAAATGTGTCACCTTTCCCCACTGTCTGGATTCTCACTAGAAGACACATTGTCTTTACTGTTTTGGATTTCCTTCAGAGATTAACAATAAAACTGGTAGTGTTATTGCTTTCTTTTGTTTTATGGGGTCACACCCAGCAATGTTCAGTGGTTGCTCCTGGCTTTGCACTCAGGAAATCACTCATGGCAGACTCAGGGGACCCTATGGGATGCTGAGGATTAAACCTAGGTCAGCTCTGTGCAAGGCACGTGCCCTACCCACTATATTATCTCTCCAGTCCCAAACTGGTAGCTTTAATCTGAGAAATGGTATTCAGAATTGAGGTTACCATGGGTGGAAGGATGGGTGGAAGCAAGGGACATTCTGGTGGAGGATGGGGTGTTGGAACTTTATATGCATGAGAGCCTATCATTAACAGTTGTATAAATAGTGGTACCTGAAATTTTTTTTAAATGTTTTTTTAAATAAGAATTAAAAAGTATGTGTTACTTATTTATTTGGAGAGATGGGGTTTTGGGAAACACCTGGCGATACTCAGGGATCACTCCTGGCTCTGCACTCAGGAATCACTCCTGGTGGTGCTTGCGGAACCAGACAAGGTGCCAGAGACTAAACCTAAGATAGGTATTTACCTTACCTGCTTTACTATCGCTCCAGTCCCATTATTTTTATTTTCTACAGAGCCAAATAGGCGGCCCAAGAACATAAAAAATCATCTAAGCAAACAAATAAAACCCCGAAACACCAAGTAGCATTAAAAATTCCATTTTGGGAGATTGTTGGAACACTGTATGACTGAACCAATCATGAACAACTTTGTAACTGTGTATCTCTTGGTGCTTCAATTAAAAAAAAATTACATGTTTTTAAAGGAATTTATTTTCTATAATATTGATTCTCTGAACCAGAAAAAAACCAATGACCTTTAACAAATCACTTTAAACTGATTTTTTAAATGCTAGATAGCAATAAATATTATTTGATAATGAGCTGATGTGGCCTTGAAGATGCCCATTCTCACGTGTAATCTCAGTGGCCAGCAATAAAACATGCATAGCTTTACAGAACAAAGACTCCAGAAAGGAAAGAGAGAATATGATCCCATGAAAAATTAGTACTTACCGGAATGCTTGATTCAGAATCTGGTAATGAAAATGTTCAGGTGCCAATCCTACAACCACAGCATTAGGATCATTTGTTTGTAGCCCTGGGAACATTTTTTTTTAAAAAAAGATAAGAAAAAGAAAAAGGTTCAAAATATGTAATTTAAGCAATGTCCTATTTTTAAACATAGCATGTTATTTTATTTAAATTTTTTGTCTTTTGGTGTTTGACCCACACCTGGAGATGCCCAAGGGTTACTCCTGGCTCTGCACTCAGGAATCTCTCCTTGAGGTGCTTAGGGAACCATATGGGATGCCAGGATCGAACCTGGGATGGCTGCATGCCAGGCTAGCGCCCTACCCACTGTGCTTACTGCTCTGACCTCTAAAAAAAGCAGTTTAATTACCAAGTACCAATTTTTTTTGTAGACAAAATATGAAGTTTGAGAAACATCCTGCTCAGTGTACTCTGAAAGTAGTCTGTGACCCCTGAAAGAAAAAAAAAGTTCTCTAGCATTTTTGCATTTAGCATTTAGTTCTTTTGCATATTCTTTGGGTCTGGTTTTATAGCTAGCAACTCAGCAAAGGGAAAATTTGAGTTGAAATTTGTACCCTTGATGGTCTCAAACAAGTAACAATTTCTAGCTTCAAAAAGCTTTCCTGATTACAATCAACAAGAACAGGCTCAAGTTCCCAATGAACTAACAGATCAATAGCAACTGATGAGAGAGTGAAAATCTCAAAGGCCAGGGAAATTAGACTCTAATCGACAGGGGAGTTTGACACCTTGAAGATACATATGGAAAGCACCGGAGTCTACATTTTTCTACACAATGCTTAATCTATTTCTGGTTTCACAAACATTATTCTACAAATTCAGGCATGTTTTAAGACCTTGGTACTTGACAGGACACATCGGACACATCGGACAACTAAACCATGCTTATTCTGAGTTATTCTGAGTCTGACTAAAGGCTCTGTGTATTGTCCTCACGCTGATTTCTATTTGCCTTCCTTATCGACTGCTTTTAATCATGTTCCTTATCAATGCCACCAAAACGTGAGGGGGAAGGAATAGAGAAAACAGATAACCCAGATTTCTAATTTCCTCTGTGAGTGGGCCAAGAGTATTAAATCTTGAAGAAAGTGAAATTGCTGTACAGCACAAGTGCTAGAGTATTTTCAACTATAAGAAAAGAGAAAAGCTTGCCCTTTTGCTCTAACACAGTTGGAAGTAGAGGGGGCCATGCTCAGTGAAATAAGTCAAAAGAAGCAAGGCCAAAATCAGCTATCAACACACTCAACAGGACCATCCATGGTGAAGGAATGTAGGTTGTAGCTTGGCAAGGGGCACAGGGTGGTGACACAGTACCCCTAACACATAAATGTCTTCATTCATAAACCATTATCACTTCAGTGTTTTTTAAAAAGAGAAGAAAACAGTCTGGAATATGGACCTCAGGAGTTTTCAATGACCTGACTCCATTGGTCATTGAAAGACAAGAAAAACAAAAATGAATCAATGGGAATATATCAAATTAAAAGGGTCTTACATGGTAAAAGAAACTCAGGCTGAAATAAAAAACCGCCCTACTAAACAGAAGAAAATACTTATACACCATGCACTGGAAAAAGCCCTAATACCAAGATATGAAAAGCACTTCCAAAGTTCAACACAGCAAAACCCCAATAACCCCACAAAAAAATGGGGATACGAGGGCCAGGGAGATGGCACAAAGGGTCCAGGCCTTTACATGAAGCTGATTCCAGTTCAAGCCCTGGTATGACATGGTCCCCCTCAGCACCACTAAGCAGTGACCCCTGAGCACAGGGCTGGGAGCAACCCGTGAGCAACACCAGGTGAAGTCATAACCACTCACCCCACTCAGGGGCAGAAATAGGGACAGGAGATGAAAAGACGCCTCCCTGAATGGACAGCAGGCACGTGAAATGTTTTCATCGTCATTTATAAGGGAAGTGCAAATCAAAATGACACTGAGGTATGTGTTATCTCACCCCAGTGAGGGGGCCAGTACAGAAGACCCCCCGCCCCTACACCCCCACCCTCCACCCCCAGGCGCCTGCATGCCAGTGGGAATGTTGCCTGGCTCAGGCGCTACAAAAAAAGTCACAGAGACTTTCTCCAAAATATAAGAGCAGAATTTCCATATTACCTGGCGAGTCCACTTCTTGGCATCTACCCCCAAACACAAAACACTGATTCAAACAGAAGTAATATATATACATGCCTATGTTCAGAGCCGTGCGTAGTTCTATAGTCAGAATACGGCCCACAACAGATGAAGGGATAATAGAACGGTGGGATACAAAGCAGGATACAAGGCAGCTGTAAGAAAAGATGGAGCCCTACAGCTTGCCGCGACCTGGATGCAACCAGAGGGCATCACATTAGGCTAAACAAGTCAAAGGGCAAAGAGCAAGTGCTAGACAACCTCATTCCTTTGCGGTATACACAAGGGAACAGATGGTATGGAGTGAGGGCAGACCCCCTTTTATTACACAACTGAGACCACCCAGCAGGGCTGGGGAGGGGAACAGAGAGGCAGACTACAAGTTAACAGAAGGATTGGTGGGGGCCTGGGTGAGGTGAAGTAACTGTACATCCAAATCATAAATACCAAACACTGTTGTAAACATGATCCCTTAGCTGTTATAATAATAATAATAATAATAATAATAATAATATTGTCATTGATAATAATAAAATACTTTTAAATGAAGGTAAACAAATTTATGCTTGTGGGATGATTATTCTAGAAGATGAAAGTTGTGAATATAAGCGCAGTCTGGGTCCTGGTATTGTTATGTTCTTTGATTTAGTTCTGGTATAGTCACTTTGGAAATTCATTAGACTGTATAATTTGTGCTCTTGTCCATACATTTAATGAAATTTCTATAAGAATTGAAAAATCAAATTCATATGTATAGCATGTATACATAATAAAACACAGCTGAAACCTTAACAAAAAATCTCTCTCAAAGTACCTTTCATATAGTCTTACCTTTGCAATCATTAAAATACTTCATATATTTAAAAGACAATTTAAAAAAATGGAAAGCAAGTTAGTCCCTGCAAACTGAAAACAAACAGAAACAAATGAACCCTTTATTAAGTTGGTGACATAAGCACTCAGAAAAAAAAAGATAAGACTTCTCAAGGTCATGATTCATAAGACTGCAGAACTAATTTTAAGGGTTCCAAGCAGTATCAAAGTCAAGCAGATATAAGTAAACCAATGAGAGGAGTACTTCTCCGACAGTGAGAGGAAGCACTGGGACACACACAAACACAAGCCTGGGTTACAATCAATCATACTTCTCTGCCAATGGAGCGCAGTCAAACAGGATTGAAAAGTACCAACCAAGATTCAACAAGCTGCTCTCAATCAATCGTGGGACCAAAAAGGAAAAACACTTAAGACAACATCCCGCTTTAATGATCATTTATAAGCAAACAAAAAACAAACAAACAAAACAGTTTCTGAATCTTTCCAAATCTCTACCTTTGAAGTCGGGCAGCGCTCGTTCATCAACCAGCAGCATGGGCCGGACCTGCTTCTGCTCCACTAAATTTCTGGCTGCAGTCAGAGAAGTGAATATTTCATCCTCAGAGATATCAAAATTCAGCCGCTTCAACCTTTCCAGCAGGTCTTGCTTGCTCTCTTTGGTTGTGTTGGTCACAAACCTGACCATCACAGAGGCACTGCGTAACCTGGAAGGGTCAAATCCAGACGTTAACAGGCAGCCTTGACATTCTGGCTCCACCAAACTTCCCAATCTGAGAGCAGGAATAAAAGACGAAGTCACCAAGCAAATGTTTTAATAACCAGCAGGTTGGCTTGGTCTGTTTTTGTCTTTTTGGGTAATCAATCCAGAGGTGGTTATAAATTATTTGCACGTGAGGAGCTGCTGTCTCCAAAGTCTGCAGAGTCCACTTGTAAAGCAGCGTTTTCCTCCTTGGGCCTTTCTTATACTCTCAGTGATTTTACTGCAGGGCTTCAATAGAGTACAAAACAAAACAAAATTCGGAGTAGCTCGTCACAGGATCTGAGAGGGGAAAGTTTTCTTAGGGATGAACTATTAGTAAAACCACCACTTTTATTTTGTTTCTTGGTTTTGGGGCTATACCCCCGTGGTGTTGAGGGTATTACTGCCTCTCTGCTCAGGGATCACTCCTGACTGTACTGGGAAACCATTTGGGGTACTAGGAATTAAACAGAGTCGGCCTTGTGCAAGCCAAACTCTCTACCCACTGTAAGATCTCCAGCCCTCACTCTCATTTAAAGATGAGGAAACAGAGGCCAAGAGGAGTCAGTGACTTGCTTATTAGGTTTATCAGTTGGGGAGCACTGAGCTGAGACAAGATTCCCATCTTTCTTCTGGTTTATGGTTTGATTTTCTGTAGTGATGTAACAGCAGATAGCTCAGGGTATTATTTTTCCTTCTTCTCGGCCAATTAGAGAATGGCTTAGTCCTGGCTCTGAGATTAGGGATCACTTCTGGAGGCGCTCAGGGAACCATACGTGGTGCTGGGAATCAAACCCAGCTCAGCTGCATGCAAGACATGCACCTTACCCACTGTACTCTTTTCAGCACCCCAAACAAACACTTTGTTTTGTTATATGTTGGTGCTACACCCATCAGTGCTTAGGGCTTACTCCTGGCTCCGCATTCAGGGATCACTGCTGGGGCTCAGGAGACTATATGGGGTGCATGGGATTGAACCTAGGTCTGCTGTGTGCAAGGCAAGCACCCTATCTGCTGCACTATCTCATGGTCCCCCAAATCGCATTATTTTAATATAAAATATTCCCTTCAAGATGCAAGCCAAATGTAGACTATAGATCAATCACAATGGCCACTCAATGGCCGCTTGTACAACACCCAAAAGGAAAGAGAGAACAAAAGGGATTGCCCTGCCTCAGAGGCGGGGTGGGGTGGGGGGATGGGTTGGGGGTGGTGGGAGGGATACTGGAATCATTGGTAGTGGAGAATGGGCACTGGTAGCGGGATGGGTACTCGATCATTGTGTGACTGAAACACAAGCACAAAAGTCTGTGAGTCTGTAACTGTACCCCACGGTGATTCACTAATAAAAAATAAATAAAATAAAATAAAAAGCATTCCCTTCAACCTTCCTTTTTTCCTAGTCACTAATTGTTTCTATACAAATAACTATCATTTCATCAGTCATTATTCACCAGACATAAATAGATTTTTCTTTTCATTCAAAGTAGAAAGCTTATCTTTATGGCGGTAAAAGCCCCTGTTCGATAGGGGTATGGACACACTTTTCCTAGAAAGCCTAACTAAGGGGGAGGGCAAGAACATCCAAGTCTGCAGCCATGGCCCCTGACTTTAAATATATTGCCTACCTACAAAATGAACATCATGACTTTTAACCAGATTGATCCCTTGCAATGACTCCTACCGGATACACGATTCTCTTTATGTTTATTGATTCCCCACAAGGAAAGTGAACTCCTTGAGAGTGTGATATCTGGGTCAATCTTTTGCCCTAAAACACCTCTCCATTCCACTAACTATAATTTCTGAAAAGCAGTAGTGCTTTTAAAGCTGGGAAATGATAGATACTACAGGGTAATACTGATTTTGGAAATTGCCTCAAATCATTTCAGGAGGAAGATGCTTGATTATCAGCTACTAGTTCTCTGGTAAGTTTTCACTTTTTCAAGACCAACACCCATTTTCTATTCACCTAAACAAGCTTTTACTACATACTCTTAGTCTCTGTCTAGATTTGCATTTAGTGCTGTGGTGATACGATACTGACATTAAGTCTCTGATATCCAAAAGCATGAAGTTCAGTTGATGAAATAATTCTAAAATTCCAATCCCCTTCATTAAATTTCAGTGCTAGCTCTGAGGTGAGAAGGGAGCGGGCAGAACTACGTCTCTGTGGATGTATGTGTTTCACTTTGCAATTCCAGGATTCAACTGTGATTATTTCCAGGGCCATCTGTTCTGCAATTTTTAAAATTCTACATTTTATAACCTTGAATTATCAATCTCAAAATGTCGTGAGACACACACACGTACTGAAAGACGAAGTTAAAGGTCAATCCCAGTAAAAGGCTGGAGAACGTTTGGAGGATATTACAATGCATACATCTTCCCGCTACCCCCAAAGCCATTGGTGAGCTGGTGAAATGCCATCTTCAGGCCATCTATTTAGCTAATGATCTGCGCTGGCAGAACGGCCCTTACAAGCGTTATCTGTCAGCTGAACCTGGAGGAGAGCTTGCCTTTTAAGAGCTTCCTGTGCGCCTGGCACAGCTGCATCTTCAATGTGAAGTGTGCCATTGAGATCCACCAAAACAGCTTTGAGTGCACGGCGCGCTGCCATCCTTCATTTCCTGGGAGAGAGCAAATGAAATTAAAATGACAGTTTAGAAAACAATGGACAATTAAAAAGTGGTAAGTCTTCAAAATTGCCACTCAGATCCAGAAGACACTGCTCATTGTCCAACACTGATTTTCTTTTACAAACAAAAACAAAAAACCACAACAAAAAACTTTTGTAATCCAAAATTTGATTTGTAAAATTTTTGCCACATTTAGTTTCAATTATCTGTTTTGAACTAAAACCATAGGAAGACGGAAAGTTATTAAAAAAGATGTTGGGGTCAGAGTAACAGAACAGCAGGTAGGGCACTTGCCTTGTGCACGGCTGACCCAGGTTCAATCCTTTGCACCAGTAGGGTCCCCCAAATCTGCCAGGAGCGATCCCTGAGCACTGCTGGGTGTGCCCCCCCCAAAAAAAATACAAGCGGGACGGTGAGGGGGTAAGGAGATGTTAACCATTTACTTTCCAGTTTGACATCCCCTTTGTCCCACCAAAAGAGCATACTCTTTGGTGGAAAAATTTATTCACTTATTTTATTTTTTAAACAGAAGAATAATCTACTCTGAGGAACAGATGAACAGAAGCACTGATTCATCTTTGATTAAAGCCTAATTCTGTTCTCTATTTAGGAAAGGAGGCAAGATGAAGCCTCAGTCACGGTACTGGAATACTCATAGAACCACTGACACTTGATACCCCTCCTCCCCATAAGACCTTAATTTTTCTCTTCATTGGCCTACCTCCCTGCTGGGTCCAATTCCCTGACCCATAAGAATATCCTACAACCTTCATTGTTATGTCTTTAGGTATTCTCCAGTGGGTGTCTTCCTTTCAGGAAGCAGAGACTCCTGATCTCCCTTCTACCAATTCTCCAAGTCAGTCATCTTTGTACCCAAAAGATATACAACTTAAGAAATTAATAAACCCAAAGTGAGCCCCAAAACTGAAGACAAAAATAAGATAGCCCTAAAAAAAATGTCAATTACATGGTGTTCCATTTTCTCCTATTCACAGGAGGTGAGGAAAAAAAAACACTTTATATCATGCATAATTATTTTTTTCCAGGAAAAAAACAATTGTATATGTTTAAGGCAAAACTGTGAAGGTTTTAGATAGGATAGAATCATCTTGATTTTATGACATAAGAAACGGCATGGACTAGGGAATGTAGCTCGGTGGTACAGGGTTTGTCTTGCATGTGTGAGGCTCTAGGTTCAATTCCCAGCACTGCACCCAAATTTAAAAATGTAGCTTGAGGGACAGGTACATACATACCGGCTGGATGTAGGCAAGAGGCCCAGGTTTGACCCCTAGCACTGCAAGGTCCCCAGACCACCTCCAGGAGGAAAGTCTGGAAACTACTGGATATGGCACAAAAATAGAAAAAAATGTAGAAATGCCCCTTCATGTGGCAGGAGAGATAGTACAATTAGGTGCTTGCCTTGCACCTAGTCAATCTGGGTTCAATCCCTGGCACCCCATAGGGTCCCCTGGGCACTAACAGCAGTGGTGCCTGAGCAGAGTCAGTAGCATTGTCAGGTCTGCTCACCCCCTCCCTCCAAAGAAAAAGAAGTATCTTCAGCAGGATAAGAAGGCAGATACAGCTATATTTTGAGAAGAAAAAAATTCAACCATGTTTTTTAAGTACTAGAAAGACTTTAAGAAAGACTTAAAAGGGCCCCGGCAGCCGAAGACCTCCAGGACCAGCCACCACCATGCTGAGACCACTCTCCGCACACCTGAAGGTACCGGCAGAGGGACAATGCCACGTGGGTTCCGGGGCCAACATCTCCAAGCCTACTCAGATTGGGGCTGAGCATCCTCCACCCAGATCCTCCAAATTCCAGTAGGCAGGGGTCACACCCACCAACTGGCCCCCTGGCGCCGTGTAATCCCATCAGCGGCCAAGACTCAGAGACTATAAAAACCAGCTCCCGGAACCGCGCGGCCGCGAATGTGACATCTTATTATGACATCTCATTCCTACTTTGGACAAACTGGCAGGCTACCGAATGTAGCCTGTCCACATGGCAGAGTCTGGCAAACTCCCCGTGGCGTACCCAATATGCCAAATACCAGTAACAATCATGGGTCTCATTCTCCTAAAGAGCCTTGAATATAATCTCAGGGCTAGGATGAAGGAGACGTTACTGGGGCCTGCTCGAGGCAATCGACGAATAACAAGATGATTTGTGATTTTTGTGACTGAGAAAGATAATTAAAAATACAGAGACTGCAAGACATATTTCTAACACCAAGATGAGAAACTTAGGAAACATAAACTATGAATATTAAGACTACAAACAACTCAGTAGAAAAGACCAATAAACAAATGAGGATATGTTCAAAACTTACTGGTAATTAAGGAGAGGTATATTTAAAGCTGAATGAGATTTCAGCATCAACCAAGAGAATGGAAAAACCTTAAAGTGAAAACTTACAAAATTTTTTCAAGATATATATACTATATTGATATATACCTATACTCTACATACTGATATATACCTACATACTGATAGTAACAAAAGCAATCACTTTCAACCAGCTTGGAATTCACCACACTCTGAGAACAAGCAAGTCTATTCATCTCTATCCTTGAGAGATACGCACATCTGTACCATCAGAGAGGAACAGAAATGTCCACAGCGGAGAAGGCACTGGCCTTGCACCTGGCCAGGACAGGTTGGGTCCCCGCCACCACACATCTGGCCCCTGGGCCTCGCCAGGTATCATCAAGGCACCGAAGACCGCCCCGCGCACCCTCCTGGGTGGCCAGGGGCCTGCAGGTGGACACTGCCATCTGCCTCACCCGAATTCCAGGACCTGGCAAACGCCAGGCTGACTCGCGAGGAAGAAAGGCCAGGACCATAGGTTCTGGTGGCCCTCAAGGTGCCCCAGAGCAAAGAGGGGACGCGAGCGTCCCGGGGGGTATCGGAACGCAGGGCCGGGCGCCCGCTTTGCGCCTGCGCGGGAGCGGCTGGCGGGGGGCGTTCCTGCCGGAAGAGGCGGTACCATCCTCGCGGAGAGCACGCGGATTGGCCTGTGTCCCCCGAGGAGGTGTGGCCTCGCGGGCAGCCCGTGTGTTTCCCCTCTCCGCCCCCCCACCCAACACGCTCACAAAGAAAAGCGGCTTCGGGACAAGCATGCCCTTGGTCCTCTAGGCGAGGCTCCTCACCCGCGCTCCGCACGCAGTCCTCAAGCAAAGACTCCCGCCTAGCAGGGAAAGCAAGGTTGGCCGCGCCGTCCGACCTCCAGGACAGCCTCCCGACGGGCGCCGGAAGCTGGGGTGGAGAGGCCGGAAGTCCCGCCCCTCCGGATCCGTTTCCGCCCCATCCGTCCCGGCTTCCCTCCTGTGCTGGGACAACCTTGACCTGGACCAAGTCGTGCTCTTCAGTCACCAGAGGAGCACGTGGACCGAGATCCGCGCCTTTAAGGGTGTGTCCTGCTGGACCTAAGAACCATAACTCTCTTCTTTTGAGCAATCTCCGTTTCCCAAGCCCTAGGACCAGTTTGAGCCTCGTATTATTAATTTACTTGGCAGTACACAACCTGTCATTTCTTTCCAGCCCCTTCTGGAGGAGTAGTTCCTAAGTCCTTCTGATGGTATTTCTGACATAGCACCGTTTCTTAAGTCATTTCCTGTTTTGCTCTTTGAATAGCATTGGCATGCAATGCTCTTAGCAACTAGATGGGATGTCAAGGTCCCTATTTTTCCGCATCCGTTACCCCAAACAATAGGCTGTCAAACTTTTACATCCCTTTTTCATTTCGGAGAGCTACCGCAGGCCTTCCCTATGGGCCCCAAGGGGCAGCATCTTGGAATGTGTATAAACCTTCTCTTCCTCTCACGTTTGTTTCCCCTTTATCCAAAAAAAATTACAAAAGATTCTGCGCATGCTTTGGATATGACTAAATGAAACACCTCCATGTTATAGTTTACACATAAAGAACCTGTGGACATGCTTAGGCAAAGGTCTCAGTCTCAACAAGGTGATGTTATGGAGACTGAAATCAGCAAGAAAGTGGCTTGCTGTGAACACACCAATCCAAGAAGCAAAGACTATGTGAGCAAAGTCCAAGATCTGAGTACATTCATCATACGTGAGGTGCTGGAAGGAGCATGAACTAAAAGATCTCATAGATTCAGTGGTGGTTCTTAGTAAAAGTTTCAAATAATCTTTGCTAGTTACCTCTTGCCCAGTACAGTAGGTCTAACTGAACTGCCTTTGCAACACAAGGAATTGCTTAGTTACCAACACTTGATCAATTAAGTCTGCTAGAAATCAACTTTTACTTAACTGAGAACCCTATACCTGAGTCTTTTTTTAAAAATTTCCTTTGTTAAAGATTAATTGGTTCTCTCTGTGCATATAGATTTACCTTTAAAAACTTAAGGTCAAGCAGAAGGTGGGTGGGGGCAAGCAGAGAAATCTGAGCATGGTCTCCAGGCCTAAGTCCTAAATCGGCTTTGAATAACTTCTGTCATTAAATTCTTACTAAATTTTGAGTTAGGTTCACAAAGGTGCTTGTCCAAAAACCCCTTGAACTGGACTGTTCACCAGAAGGGCATCTAACATTTCTTTTGCTCCGTGTTGCAATTATAGGGGCTCTCATTATCTGCTATTCTAGGGAACTTTTACCTCTCCTCCCCACTGGGTCAGAGGTTAGTCTTGTCTTTTTCATTAATACTAGAGTTGTATGAGTGGCCTCTTTTGTTGTTTTCTCTGAGTGAAGGTGGTGTCAGGTCATATCTGTGCTCAGAGATCACTCTTGGCAGTGTTTGGGGGATCATCTGCAGTGCTGGGGATTGAGCCATGGTCAGATATGTGCAAGACAACTCTCTGGCCTCAAGAAGTGAAACTTTGTTTCATTTGGGGCCACACTCATGGATAATCAGGGGACAATACATGGTACCCAGGATGGAAAATGGGTTGACCACCTGCAAGGCAAGCACCTTACTGCTGTACTATCTTCTGCCCCCAAGGTAAAGTGCTTTTGTTCAGAATTTGCTCTCTTCAAACAGCCCTGAACCAAAATACACTAATGCTGCCCAACCACAAAGGCTCTTTAGTGGCATGTGAACTTGAACACTAAACCAGCATGAAGATAGACTTATATTCTTTGCATGGAAATGGCAGCAGGCCAAGGTCACTTCTTTTACAAATTCTATTTGGCTCTCTGCAGGTAAAGATGTAAATGCGCCCTCCAGTGACTATGTTTTTAAATCTGTTAAATGATTTAAACTTGGGACCCATCCATCATCAGCTCTTTGTAAGGCCAAAAGAACATTGCCTTTAAGTTCGACATACATTAGCAATTCATACAAATCAAGTAAGAATTTCTGTTTTGGTCTTCGGTTTGGCTGGAAGCCTGCAACTCAGACCATATCCATCCCTCACAGGATATGGCCAGCAGGTCCTATACCTACTCCAAAGCTGTAGAAGTTAAGTCATAAAAGTTGATCAGAAGTTTTCTTGAGGTATGCCAGAAATTCAGTTCATTCCTTGGGGGGAAAAACAGACTATGTGCCCATGAAGAATTTATCTAAGAACTTTATACAAAATGAAATTAATTCAGTTAACAAGGCCAGGAAAATACTGAGGTACAAAACAAAAGCTTGACTTAAATTTAATTTTATTTACAAATTTTCTCCTATAAACAAAGATGCCACTCTATCCCTTTGAAATATTATAACTGATATTTCCAGAAAACAATTTATATAGTGTTTTCCTGCATAAAAGAATATTATGAGAGGAGCATAGATGATGGAATGGCCAAACACATAAAAACAAAAACAAAAAAAACAAAATTTGTCCAGCACAGGAATTCCAACAACAGAATAAAAAAATAATCACACCCCTTAATGTGATTTTTGGACACTACTCCAAGAAATGGAAACTCAATTTTGGGGAGAAGTAAATGCTCTACAATAAATTTTTCTTATTTAGTATAGTTTCATTGTAATTTTTTTTCAGGTTGTTCTTGCAAACTAGCAGTATGCTACTTTAAAAAATAAGCCATAATTTTAGAAGGGGCAAAGACTCTATATAACGATTTTTCTACCAATGACAATATACTGCTCTGGTCTCATCATTCAGGCTAATTCAGAAATCAACAAATGCACAGAAAGAATTTAAAACAGAAAACACAATTTTCATGTGACTATCTCACTTATAAAATTAGAAATCTCCCTGAAACCAGGGAATAATGGTTCTCAGTATTTACTATAAATTTGAATTTTTCATAACCAAGACAATATATAGACAAAATATTTAACCAAAGGATTCAAAATAAAAGCATCCAAATTACATATTTATCATTTTATATGTAGTTATGTTAAACGTTATTAAAATTTTTATTTAGAATAATCATCACTCTTGCATCATAGCTAATCCACAAGGAACTTCAAATTAAAAAAAAACAATTCATCCCTGAGAAGTGAGAGAGAAAAATCTCTGAAAGCACAGAAGTGACAGTCTTTGTACCCTTTCAACAATTTTTACCATAGCATTAACTTTATTACAGTCGGTCAGCAATCAAATGTACTCCACTCCTGGAGAGGTACGGCCTCTGATGATCTGATCGTTTTGCAATGAAACTGAAGTGCAATATTTTTTAAAATCAGATAAATAGGGACTCTAGTTTTATTGTCAACTTTACATTTTTGTCAAGTGCAAAGTCATCCAGCTAAGTTATGCATATCCCAATAATGACCAAAACAATAACTTCTGTTGGCATCTCTTCCTCTGAGTCTCCATCTCCTCCACTTATCTTCATCCAAACAACAAAAGTAATACAATTACAACTGAGTTTACTATTATCAATGGCACTGGAAAGAAAGAAAAAAAAAGTTGGTTATTACAAAGAAAAAAGAAAAAAATTATTACTAGCTTCCAGGAAGGACAACAATTATCTAACATCATAACAGTCAGGATAAAATTAATGTAAATAACAGGAACATTTGCACATATACTGATGCACTGGCTCATGAAACACAAATCATGAAGCCGGCCTGCGCGAGTGGGAGATGACTGTCTCCCACAGAAAGTGCCAGGCTAGTGGCCAACCCCCATGAGGGAGGCCTCAGGAACAGGGAGCCTGGGCCCGTAGACATCTAGGTTGTCAATGAGAGAAAGCGGGCAAAGGAGATTCAATGGCAGTGATGCAGCTTTGGCGTTTTGTTTTGTTTTGAAGTAAAACTGATTTTATCCGGAGTTTTTTGAAGGGGAAGAGGAAGAAAAAGTGGGAGAGAGTAGAGAGTAATGCACTCAAGAGCACGCGGGCTTCCCCAAAGATGAAGGAGCCTGTACACACATCCCAGCATTGGATAGGAAAGCACACGTCTCAAGAGGGGAGATAGCAACACATGCTCAGCGATGTGTGCGCAAGCAGCACGTGGGCTTGGGCAGCGTATGTGCCATTGCAGCTTTGACAGCACAGCAAGACTGAACTTATTTGTCATTCTATCTTAAGGCTTGGGTAAAGCAGCTAACAGAAAGAAAAAGACAGACAAAGATACATATACACAGGAGAAAGAGAAGTCTAATTGCAGTGCTTTTAAATAAAAGGCCGCAAGCTGCTTAATTCCCAAAAGAATGGTAGACAAGGGAGCTTCATGTTTCTCCTGAAATTCTAGAGCAGGACTTCATTAAACTTTTCCCCAAAAAAAACTTTTACAAGACCCCAGGTATACAGTTAAATAAAAACAGGTACACAAAACAAATATTTACTGACAATGAAAGTATAAAGAAATTTATTTTAAAACAAATTAGTTTTTGCCTCTTGGGCCACTACGTAGTAGTGCTCAGGGCTCACACCTGACTCTATGCTCAGGATAGCACCTGGAGGGCTCGGGATCCTTTATGGTGCTGGGAATCGAACCCAGGTTGGCCACGTGCAAGGCAGGCACCCTATCTGCTGTACTGTCACTTTGGCCCCTTAAAACAAATGTAAAAGAAGTCACAGTTTTAAAAGGAAGGTACTAATCAGTAGTTTTCAAATGCCAGTTTTTAGGTGGAAAAACAGCTGAAAACCACCACTCTAGACAACTTGACTGCTTAGCAGCAAGTTTCCGAAAGAACATCACTGTTTACCAGCCGAGGGGTAGTGTCCAACGATTCATACCACTGGGCTTAGACAGAGGCATGTTAAGAAAGAAACCAATCAACGTTTTAGTAGAGCCACATTCAAGAGAAAGCAATGGCGTGTGATGGTATTCGTACTCAAGAAGTTTTGCTACTTACCAAACCACAAAATAAAAACTTAAAAGAATGTGCACTAATTTTCTTTCTTACCTCTCATCACGG